TTAAACGTGAATTAATTATTTTCCACCAGGATTAGCTTTAAATAGATCTTATTGTTATATGGCCAATTTCCATACTAACGGGATACTCTACTAAATTTTCTTAAGTATAGGGGCTTTTAAAAAATTCTTTGTTAATTTTGCCAAGTATTATTTTTCAGTCATGATTATTTTTACTGACATGTCAATTTAATTATTTTAAATTTCTCTATCTCTATAATACTGTGCTTTAAGTTTTAAGTGCTTTATTTGTAAATGTTAGAGTGTACATTATGTACATCTGTAAATTACCAGAATGGAAGCTTCAGATTATGTTCAAAATTAATTAATCCTGAAAGAAATTCATACACATTTCATTTATCGATTTTATTTTTGCCTTACATAGATTGAAATTAGGGTCATTGTTGACCAGTATGTTCAATGAAGTGAAACGCTGATATGTATACACAAATAACATGCACTGATTTTCTGCCCAAAGGCGATTGAAACCGCGAGTGTTGATACCATTTTTATACACATTAATCGGTCAGGTAAACACAAGCAGAACAAAAAAAGAAATAAATCACAATTCCCGGTATTTTCAACTGTTTATTTTTAAAATTAATGTACTCTTTGAATAACTTGTTTTATAAATTAAAAACTACATGTACAGGTAATTCATTAAGAATTTCCCCAGTGATTATCCACATTGTTTATGTTATTAATGGAAGAATTGTAGCATTAATTTATTATTTTTATTTCATAGTCATTTAATAAAGTGTGAGGTTTCTACTTGAGGGTTAAAACATGTTCCTTTTTCAATTAAAAATCTTATATCTAACTGTAATAATTATTTTTAAATAGACTAGTACCAATGCAAATTTTTAGTATTTAATTTTACATTAAATACCCCCGTAATAAAAAGGCCTACGTTTTGATATTTTTTTTCTCATAAACCTTATCTTATATTTAGGGGAAAATATTAATCTTCTCCTGACTTCCTTATTTTACAACTTTATTTTTTAAAACTTTATTCTAAACTACATTTGTGTAAATATACAGTCTAAGTAAATATTAATTAACTATAATAATCTCTTCTTATTAAAAGATTGTAAGAAATCCTCGCTTTTTAAACAGTTTAAACTCATCTCTGCTGCAAGTAAACAAAACAACAGGGGGCCTGCAAATTCAGAATACACAAGGGGGCGGAGCTATCATGTCACTCAGAACCTTTTTTCACACATGAGTGAACAAAGCAGTCCCAGAAAGCAGTCCCAGGAACAGCTGGGTGTGCTGGGTCTGCTTTTTAGAGCAGTCCCACAGCAGTCCCAGAGCAGTCCCACAGCGGTCCCAGAGCAGTCCCACAGCAGTCCCAGAGCGGTCCCAAAGCAGTCCCGGGGACTGCTTTCTGGGACTGCTTGGGTGTCAGGTTGGGTGTGGTCGGTACTGTATAGAAACAGGATAAAAACCAGATGTGTTTGTGAACATTATGCGCCCGGCGGCAACAAAGCTCAAACAAGAGGCCCATGGGCCTTATAGGTCACCTGACCATTATGCAACAACTTTCCAGTGATTGAATTTGATTCATATTTTAAGCCAGATGCTATGGCATTCACAATTTTGAAAGAGCTGGAAGTCCATTGGTCATCATAACTATACACTTAGCAGTTGCTTAGTTTGGTTACTTAATACCCATAGGCAGGGTAGGGGAACAAAACAAGAGGCCCACGGGCCTTATAGGTCACCTGAGAATTATGCAACAACTTTCCAGTTATTGAATTTGATTCATGTTTTAACTTAAGCCAGATGATATATGGCATTCACAATTTTGAAAGAGGCGCCATTGATCATCATAAAAATACACTTAGCAGTTGCTTAGCTTGGTTACTGAATACCCATACACAGGGTAGGGGAACAAAAATGCATTCCAACTAATCAGTAATATTCAGCAATAATCAGTAGTGCCCCTAACACTGTGCCATAAACCCCTGACCCTAGGTCCACACATTGCACAAATTTTAAAAAGGCACCCTTAAAATTGCCTTTCAAAAAATAAATGTTTTATAAATACAAAGCAGCAGATTTCAAACAATTAATTCATTTTTTCAGTATATAAGTAACCCCCCCCCCACACCCCTGACCCTGGGGCCTTGAAATTCACAACTCTGCAAGATTAGGGCCCTTGCTAATCATAACTATATAGGTAGTTCATCTGCTTCATACCCAGAGACAGAGAAGAAAATTTTGAAAGATTTAATGAATTTTCACTATACATGTATAATCAATAGAGCCCCGCCCTAACACCAGAACCCCTGACCCTGGGACCATAAAATTCACAATTTTGGTTGAGGCACTCTTGCTTATCATAACTATGCACTTAATTAGTTTATTTAATACCTAGGAGCAGAGAAGAAGATTTTCAAAGAATTCATGTATTTTCACCATATAATCAATAGAGCCCCGCCCTAACACCAGAACCCCTGACCCTGGGACCATAAAATTCACAATTTTCGTAGAGGCACTCTTGCTAATCATAACTATGTTCTCAGTTGGTTTATTTAATACCCAGGAGCAGAGAAGAAGATTTTCAAAGAATTCATGTATTTTCACTATATAATCAATAGAGCCCCGCCCTAACACCAGAACCCCTGACCCTGGGACCATAAAATTCACAATTTTCGTAGAGGCACTCTTGCTAATCATAACTATGTTCTTAGTTGGTTTATTTAATACCCAGGAGCAGAGAAGAAGATTTTCAAAGAAATAATGCATTTTCACTATATACTTATTTAGCCCCGCCCTAGCACTAGAACCCCTGACCCCAGGGCCATAAATTTCACAATTTTGGTAGAGGACTTAATGCTGATTATAATTCAGGAGTAAAGAAGAAGATTTTTAAAGATTGCATTAATTTTAGTGGTTTTGGCCTCACCCCTCCGGCCCCAGGGGGGCAGGTATCATGAATTTCATAATTTCTGTTCCACTTCACCCACAGATGCTTTATGCCAAATTTGGTTGAAATTGGTTCAGTGGTTGCAGAGAAGAAGCTGAAAATGTTCAAAAGTTAACGCACAACGCACGACGACGGACGAAAACGGATAGCAATAGGTCACCTGAGTTCACTCAGGTGACCTAAAAATCTATTTTTAGCATATTGGTCACAGGCAAGGTCACAAGTTCATTGACCTTGGTGTCGTTGGAAAGAACTTAATCGGTGGAGTATGCATACCAAATATGAATTTCCTATCTCCTATGGTTAAAAAGTTAAGGTAAAAAGTGTAAAAAGCTATTTTTAGCATATAGGTCACAGTCAAGGCCACAAGATCATTGACCTTGATGTCATTTGAAAGGACTTTATTAATGGAGTAAGTATATCAAATATGAAGTCCCTATCTCCTATGGTTCAAAAGTTATGACAAACAGTGGAAAAAAAATATTTTTAGCATATAGGTCACAGTCAACGTCACAAGGTCATTCACCTTGATGTCATTTGAAAGGACTTTATAAATGGAGTAAGTATACCAAATATGAAGTCCGTATGTCCTATGGTTCAAAAGTTATGACAAACAGTGGAAAAAACTATTTTTAGCATATAGGTCACAGTCAAGGTCACAAGGTCATTGACCTTGATGTCATTTGAAAGGACTTTATTAGTAGAGTATGCATACCAAATATGAAGTCCCTATGTCCTATGGTTCAAAAGTTATGGCGAAGGTTAAAGTTGACAACAGACAGAAGGACAAACAGACAAACAGACAGGACAAAAACAATATACGCCGGGGATCTATCGATCTGGGCACATAACAATAGACAATAATTCACTTATTTTATGGTTGTGTATATTTTAAAATATTACTGAATTTTGGAATGAATTTGTACAATGGTTTAGTGTCATAGAAAAAGATTGCAAACTATCAAAAGAATTGTTTTACTTGGTAATATAGAAGGAAGTTGGCTAGAAAATTTTCTCTTAGTAGTTGCAAAAAAGTTCATTTCGTATTCAAGATCACAAGACAGAAAGCCATTATTTATTGATGCAGTAAGGTTATTCAAGTATTACAGAAACATAGAAAATTATTGTGAAAAAGTTTTTCAATGTAAGGACAAAATACTCAGTAAATGGGTCCTGTATGATGTGTACAACAAGTGATGAAAAAATCAAAATTGTACTTTTTTGTTAATTTATATCTACACATTTTGGTACATCTGTTTTGTTTTTGGATAAATTGTATGTTTAACTCTCATATGTTTACATATATGTACATTTATATTATGCCCCCCTTCGAAGAAAGGAGGGCATATTGCTTTGCTGCTGTCTGTCAGTCCATTTAGTTTCCATTCATTTTCTTCACAACCATTGCACTGAAATGAAATTTGGTATTCAGCCTTACAGGTAAATATCAGATGAATATCTAGGTCAAGTTCAGTTTTGGGTAAGATCATCGCGCCATTTTTGACAGTTATGCCCCTTGGATTTAGAAAAATTCCAATTACTTGCAGTTTCCGTTCATTTCCTTTGCAGAGGTTGCACATAGTGAAATGCAATTTAGTATACAGATTTATCAGATGAATATCTAGGTCAAGTTCTCTTTTTAATATGATCGCACCATTTTTGACAGAGTTATGCCCTTTTGGACTTAGATAAAAATTCCAATGTGGGGGGAGGAGGGCATAAGTGTTTTACAAACATCTCATTATTTTTCAGTTTAGAAAGTGCACTGTGTGAGTGTGTGCAATTGTGGTGGTGAGTGGGTGAAAATTGTCTTGTGTTTGTACAGTGTATATATGAATATAGAAAAAGCTTCAAAATAAAGCATTTTAAAAAAAGTTTTGGAAAGTATGGCATTCATATACCAGTACTCAGAAATGCTAAATAAAATGCTTCGTAGAAGAAAAAAAATAATTAAAACTACCAATCAAATACGTATTAAATGTAAATCTTTTAAGATGAAGGTTTTGCTTTGTCAGATTCTTTGCTTATAGGACACTTACCTTTAATAATGTAATGACAGGTGAGGCACGTGGCTGGTCTTCTTGCTGGATCAGTTCTTAATTAAAACCATCCAGTATTGTCCTAAGATTGCCAGATGTACAGACAAAACCTGTAATTTAGCAAGCTTCTTTAACATGTCATTTGAATTATTACATAGGCATAGTTGTAAGTGCAACTGATAATAATGTAGGACTAAGGTGCCTGACAAATAATGAGTTATAAATCTTACAAATACCCATTTATTTGATACAAATCTTAGCTTTCTTCATTAAATTTTATCAATGATTTTACAAGAAAATCAGAATAAAAATTGTCTTTTTATACATAAAAATTATTTTCATTTAAAATTTTTTTATTTTAAAATATTTGTTGCTTTTTCATATTTAGGGTATCCTTCCTAGGCCAACAATAAATAATGATTTGTTTGATGTACTCTGACCGACCTGTTAAAATAGCCCCTACCAATTTGAAATCATTTTTTGGGGGCACTTTAAATATTTTACCCCCCCCCTTAATTTCCATAGATGTTTTAAAGATAAGGTATCATATTTTTTTAGGATGCTTTTTAATTTATAAATACAAAGTCTTTCTAACTAAATGAAAACATTAACAGATTTCTGAGTCTGTGGTTTTAAATATGACAGTTATCAATTTATTCAATACTGTAAGGCATAAAAAAAAACTAGAAATATGTCCACAGGACAGGAATGCTCATCTTGAAAAATGTTACAGTTGAATTGCTTACATCTGTATGTATCAGCAAATGAAGTTTGACACTAATTTCAGAGATGCAAGGTCAAGGTCAAATAAAAGGTCAAGGTCAAGTTGATGCAGTTGAATTGCTTACATCAGAATGTATCACCATATGAAGTTTGACATTAATTTAGGAAAATTGAGGTCAAGGTCAAAAGAAAGGCCAAGGTCAAAAAATGTTTGTTTCAGTTGAAAAGCTCTCATCAGTATGGTAAGTTTGATACAGTAAATCTCGTTTAGTATGAACACGAATATTGCGAATTCACGGGTATAGGGAAGTCATCTTGGATTCCAAGCTATAAAATTTCAATGAATTTCTTATACGATTATAATGAATTATGGATATAGCGAAGTAATTTCATAGGTCCCAGCAACTTCGTTATAACCGAGTTTTGCTGCAACACCATCTTGAATGGTATGTTTAAAACAGAACTAAACACTAATTTAAGAAAAGTGAGGTCAAGGTGAAAGGACAGGTCAAGGACAAAAAATGTTGATGCAGTTGCATAGCTCTTATCAATATCTATCAGCAAAGTTTGATGAAATATCCTGTATAGTTTCTTTGAAACTAGGCTTTGAACTGAGCTTAACGCAAAGTGTGACGCAGGATAGAAAGACAGAAGACAGACATGACAAACACTATAAGCCCAGGCCATTATCATGGCGGGGCATAAAAAACTTTCGGTACCTACCGACCTACCTACCAACCTTGATAAAAGTGGGTAGTAGTACATAAAACAAATATATTTTTTAAGCTGGCCAGTTAATGACTAGTATATTAGTCATTTTGATATGCTATGTCTTATAAAAAATAAATTTATATATTTGTCTTATAACTTATTTTGTTGCATCAATTTCATACCTGTATTTGATTTGCATTGTTTTGGATGCTGATAATTCAGAGTCAGTTTAGTCTTAGGTGCTGCTGACTTTGGATCTCTTAGCAACTGCATCTTTTATCTGTGTTCCTGGTTCTCTTGTACCTCTGCTATAAATTAAGTTTTAGTGTATACAGTTGTGTAATATCAGTGAATAAATTGAACAGACAGATTGATTGATTGATTGTATATTGTTTATAGTTCCTCTCAAGAATTTTTCATTATATGGAAACACCAGTGGAGACTGGAGAGCTAAAAATTTTGTCCTATACTCAGCACTCAGGGCCATTGACTGATTGAGCAGGAAGGGATCTTTTTTTGTGCCAACACCTGACCTACTGCAACAAGGGGCCATGGTTATACTGTAACATCCCAACGACAGGTCTCCACATCCCACAGTGGGATTCAAACTCATGATGTAAGGATCATCACCTTATTTCGCAAGTCTACTAGAGCAGACACTCTAACCACTGTGCCATGCAGGCGATTTTGAACAGACAGAAAAATCCATAAACCATGTTCTATAAACAGGGTACATACTCTCTAAAGTGAGAAATATGGTCATCTAAATTTTATTTTATGCAGAGAGATGGCTAAATATATGAACATCTTATCCTTGTGAAATAGATCTAAATTGCTACAAGCATTAAATGCTCAAAAAAATAATCCACTGATACAAAGCAGGTTAAAATTTACTGGAAAAAAGTATATTAAAAAATTACCCAAACAAAAGTGATGCAGCCACAATATCATAAATATGACGTTGGTACCCATCAATGACAAAACTCCTCCTCTATAATCAGCTGAAAATAACATCTCAGATTCAATAGAAATCTGTTAAAAAATTAAGGCAAAAGATAATTTCGAAACTGTTTCATTCGGTTAAGAATAAAACACTTCATTTTAACTCAAAATAAACAAGAAATGGATGACACTGACATTTGTCATTGTTTGATTTGTTTACCTGTGTTTCGATCGAAATACGCTCGCACCCAATTTCTTATGGCATAATATTAAAACATCGTAAGTCGGACAACCCTTCGGCTTTGTAAAACTACTTAATTTTCCCCTGAAAGTTGTATGTAAACCAGAAACATGCTGAAGTGAAAATTATCGTAAAATCTCGCAAGTCACGTGACGAGACTTACAGACTCTGGACCGAATTTTCTCAGCTTTTGAAATAATAAATAAAAAGTTTACTTCCGGTAAAGGGAGAAGTCATTTCAAATGGAATTTAAATAAACATAATGAAGAGAGATATCTCTTTGCAATAAAGAGATATCTCTTTTTGCTTCAGAGATATCTCTTTTAGACCCTTTTGAAAGATATCTCTTTCACTTTGAGAGATATCTCTTAAGATAAACTTAGAGAGATATCTCTTTTACTTAAAGAGATATCTCTTAAACTTGGAAAGATATCTCTCTAAGTGAAAGAGATATCTCTCTAGGTGAAAGAGATATCTCTTTAGTTGAAAGAGATATCTCTTTAACAATCAGAGATATCTCTTTAACGTTCAGAGATAGCTTTTATCACGAAAGAGATATCTCTGAACGTTAAAGAGATATCTCTCAAAGAAAAAGAGATATCTCTCTAAGTATAAGAGATATCTCTCTAACTTTAAGAGATATCTCTTTCTTATAGAGATATCTCTTAAGAATAAGAGATATCTCTTTAAGTTGAGAGACATCTCTAATTTTTAAGAGATATCTCTCTAAAATGAGAGATATCTCTGTAATTTTCAGATGAAATTTATTTTCCGAATAAATAGTAAAAGGGCTTGCCATACGCTACAACTTAGTTAAAACTTTTTTTTTCATTTAAATTAGACATCATATATACACAGTAGATAATACATACAGGATTCGGAAACAAGTTGTAACAACTGATATTAATCAGTTTCCTTAAATTTTCTTTCAACTATAAATAAGCATTTGCCACAAGTTGACGGTAAAGAGAAAAAAAATTGTTCCATGCTCGATTAACGGCTTTTGAGCAGTGGGGGATCTTTTTCATGCCAGCACCTACTGTAACACGGAGCCTCGGTTTATACGGTCTCATTCGAAGGACCGGTCCCACGCTCAACAATAGGATTCGAACCGCGGTGTAAGGATTACATGTAGTTCATTACACCGCGACTCTAAAGCAGACGCTCCGAAACACTGCATCCGCCAAGCATGTAAGGTATATATTTCCCGTATATCAATCCCAGCTCTTTGCCTGAAAATGTAAACTACCCCCCTCCCCTTCCAAAACTACACACAAACAGTGTATCTTCCAACATCTTGCTTTTTTTTTTTTACATGTACAAGGAAACGAGATACCTACAGTTTACAATGTCCAAAAGGTGTAAATTCTTTTAATAAAACGCATTAAAAGCGTAAACAAAACTTTTCAACACTAACTGTACGCTTATCATTATGTAATTAGCAAAGGAAACAACTCTTTTTATTACAAGGTTTTTTTTTTCTCTATATCCTAGATATTTTAAGTAAATAAATAAATTACCAGCATAGTTATATACAATTTAACACAAATAACCGCAAACGCATGATCTATAATTACTATAGAGCATTGTGTGTATTAATCTAACGGAAAAAATAAAACACCAATAAATAGTACATGCGTATAAACCCCACTCCCTAAAACAACATTTTCAGGTGAAAAAAAGAGGGGGGGGGAGGTCAGCGTCGCCAGTCGATAAGATAGCACCAGGGAAGGTAAAGTCGGTCATATCTTTATGATTAAACAAATGCTAAATTGCATTCACAGCGACATGTTGTAGTTTTACAACTTCGTCTACTGGCGCTTACAGAGTGTACATCCTCCCAGCCCTTCACAATGTTAAAAAACAAAATCCCCCGAAAATTGAAAAGCGGGAGGGTTTATAGTAATCGGTATATCCGTCCGTCTGTTACGCTTTGGGGTACCCACCTCTATCCTCAACTACTCCCATACAACTGAATGAAATTTGATGAAACTTTCATAGACTCTTAAAGAGTCTTTATTAGATGTCGCCATTGTGCACCTTCTATTTTACTTTTTGATCCGACACATATTTTTGGTTTTCCACAGCAAAATATGGGTACTGTCATTATATTCATATTGAAGACGGGGTTATCATTTAGTGACCCATTGCTCACAGTACCTCTAGTTTCTTTTCAATTTTGATTTACATCTTATATTTTTCCCCGGATATTTGGAGTCTACATGAATATATATAATCGTAAATGCCCTTCTATGTTAAATGAAACTATATACAAGAGATACTGTACATTTACTGGGGACTTTGCAGATTAATTTGTTTTTCATTTTGACTACTCCTAATCAACTGTCAGACATCAATACTTGGGATGTCAATGAATAGGCAGAATTAGACTATCAGTCGAATGGACCGACGATATTATAACGAAACGACATCTGAACATTGAATAAATGCAAGAAACGGAGGTGATCATGAAATTCTCATCTTAAAATGCATGAACAAGAAACATTGACACAAGCGTAAAAAATCGACCGCAGACTAGTCAATTCTTCCTTTCATGAAGCAATTAGAAACTGAGACATTAAACAGTTGCATGCGACATCGAAGGAAGTTTTCCATACGTAAAATACATGTACATTATTTACATGTATAAGCAAACTTACCCATAGTTCTCTGCGTCTCCGCACTCAGTTTGGCACAAATGAATTCGAACTCTGGCGAAAGTTTGATGTTTAAGTATAGTTTCTACATTAAAAGCTTAAAACTAAAGTTTACACTTATCTATAGAGGTTTTACTTTAATAAAAACGCAACACATATGTTGGAATCCTAGCTCTCTCTTAGAGGATGTTAAAACCCCAAAACTCTCTCCAGATTCCTCACTACATTTCTTCTCTTTCAGTTTCTGGTGTTGGGATGTAGAGGTTATGCTATTTTGTAATTTTTGCATTTAACGGGTGGCAGTAATTAAATACAAAATTTACAACATGACAATTTGTAAATTTTGTATTTACTGCCACCTGGTATATTCAAAATTTACAACATGACAGTTAAAGCCTTAGTGCATTGTAAAACGCGCTTTATTCTCGTCTGATGGAGCAAAATCTCGTAATATTCTGTCTTTTAATAAATTAACATTTTATCATATTGAACATTTTTTTGAAAGTACAGTATTTACCAACCAAAATAATAAATTCTCATTTACTGGCCTTTTTGCAGCCTGATGGACCTGTCTGCTCTATAAATTTAGGTTTAAGTTTTTGCATATGCATGGGATTAAGGTGGGAGAAGTAATTCATAGTTAAAGTTTCAATATGCATGAAAGAGATTTTAAAAATGTTTTTTCTTATTATAAATTACGACAAACACATCTTTAAAAATACATATGTCTTTCATATTTAATATATAAAGTTGCTAAGCATTTACTATCGAAAAAAAAAGACCTATCGAAAAAGGTTCCTGTTTTCGAACATGAAATTTTACTCATCGCATAAAAACGTAAGTTACACAGTTTGGGTTTAAAATTCATTAATACAAATTTAAATCTATTTTTGCTGATAGGTCATTCATATGTCTGATTTCAATTCATATTTTATGCAGCCAACTGTTACTAAAGGAATTGATAAAGTATGAAATTTTGGGTATCGATTTTGTTCGATTCTTATCCGACTAGAAGCTTTCCGTAAATTATTCGCCACTATAGTCTCCATCATTCATACGCATTTCTTTTTATCAACAAATCGAAGTGGTTTGATGACGAAGACATATTTCAATTGTAGACTTCATTTTTTCGCGGGCATTAAGTTATTTATTTGACTAGTACCATTTTTAAATATATTTAAAGCCTCTAGGAATTTCAAATGCTAGGATCACACAATATTGGCATAGCCGTGAAGTATTTAAAATTAGAAAATTTTTAATACAAAAATCTTGCATACTGAGTGGTAAGGACATTTTGATAGCCGGGGTTATCATCAATTGAGCATGCAGTATCTAACAATATCGCCTAAGGTATAGGGTGTTTACAATTCCCCTTTCCGATTTATTTTAATTATTTAATAAGCTTTCTAAAACACCGTGCTTTAAAATAAATTAATAAATGCTCCAAATAGTCGATTTCGAATAATGCGATCGAATGTTCGACTACGGAAAATAGATGCTTGTATTTAGATATCGCTACTTAATACTTCTACTTGAATGATAATTTAAACGGAGAGGAACTGTTATCACTCATTATAGATATTACAGTATTAAAAATATTTGTCTTTTTAATGACGTTGTCATGATGGGTGCCCTAATAAAAAAAAAAAACGTATAGGACTAAGGTTGTTTTAAGAGTGCCTAAAACCCATTAAATGGTATCTCAAATAGAGGGAATGTCATATGACCCTTGTGTCCCTCCCCTTGTTTTGGTTGTCAAATATCGTGCGATAAGCATGATCGATATTATGAGAATAAATGAAAATATTAATATTTGCTTATTGACAGCATTTATAATGTCCAATGTATTGTCAAATAGTGTTAAATAAAATAAAATACATAGCACAGTCATGATACACGAACAGAACTTAAATGTTTCCAAGGGCAATGTTTGTTATATCTTTTTAAATAAAGAATGCAAAAGATTAGACGAGTTATGTCCAGAGAAAAATTATAGAAATTTTATTGTTTTCATGTGCTATCTGTGAAACCGATTTCTTTCATCAGACAAAACATTCTAGGCAAGTGAATTAACTGCAAGAGAGATATGTTTTGGGAAGCGGGTTGGGGGAGTGGGGTCTGATTATGAAACATTGATGATTAATAGGTCTACGAACTTATTTCAAAAATATTTTTTATAATATCGTTTGA